GTGTCACATAAGGGTGCAGTTTTGCGTCTAAATATGGCGCAAAATGGTGTATCCGTGACAGTTAAATCTCCAAACAAGTGCAGATCTGTGCATCAAGTGCATGTGGAAATGAGAGTAAGTTGCACTAACCAGACAGTGCAATCTACAGTGCTTTTGAGTAATCAAGGCCACTCCTGGTCATCATCATCCTGGAGTACTCCCGGGGATTGTCTGGCAATACGTCTGCACACAACCTCTCCTCCACTGTCACTCTCCATATCACAGGGAAAAATCCACTTCAAGCTTATGCACCCAATAATAAGCACTTAAGGAATCCACATCTGGACCATAGGAATGCAGCTATGGTATACAGGAATGTAAACACAGAATCCAAGATGGCCACCGGCCTCCCTCGTGGCTCAGGCAGTCTGGTATCACAGGCTTGGCTCCTCCCTAATGCATTTTGTGCACTTGCACATTTTCAAAGGGACCTTGCCATTGCCAGTGAAGTGGTATATATACAAGTCTGCGTGCATGTGCAGAACCGCGGCATAACGCCATATTGGTTTCTGTGCATGCGCGGTACACATCCCGGTGGCCATTTTATTAAAGCTGCATACAAAACAACAAGCAGAGCAGAAGGGAACCAGGAAAATACATAGTAGACAGAGAGTGGTATAATCACTACCGCTTCTCTGACAGGGACCTGGGCAAGTATTATGGCAATACCAGGAGAGCCTTGCTTGTGGAAAAAAGGATATTTATAACTCAGGATAGGAGGCAGCAAATACCGTTCCTCCATTTTCCCGTGGACCAAAATCAGGTTAAGGAAACCATTATACTGTAGACCACAGACACATAATCCCAATGGTCTTAATGTGTCAGTGTGGACAATGCAAGGTATCTGAGACCTGGATAAATGTATAAATCTGTTATTACTGATGTAAATGGAAAAGCATCATCCCCTAAGTCATACTCTATAGAAAATAGCATCCAATTTTAAATAAAAATACTCCATAATATTAAAAAACAATAAGACATGACTAGATGTGTTGTACATAAAAACGGATCATGAAAAATATTAAAATAGTAATATATAATATAAACCCGTCCCTCCATGAGGGTCAATTAAAGGATACATAAAACAAATAGAATTACATGACCTATTTTAATAAATATAAAATTAGAATTAAAACCAAAATACTGAGTCACCTCAGATTCCAATTGAAACCTGATCTCAACCAGGACACAGAAATAAGATTATAATAAAAAATATATATTGTAAAATAATCAAATGAGAATTCTTGTCTAAAAAATCATGTGGATGTAAATATCAGTCTGAATAAAAATGTAAGATAAAAAAAAAGATAAAAATAAAAATGAGAATAAAAATAAAATTTAATAAGACGCACTGGGATAACTAAAACTAGATAAATAATAACAACATCAAATGGTTATATTTACTCCATAAATAACACCTAAAAATGAGTAAATCCGTATTAAAAAAGGGGCCCCTCATATGCAGATCTAACTCGTATCAATAAAACAATTTATATCGAGATCAACATTCAGGCCTTGTGGTGTAAGTGACTGGAGCTCAAAAATCCATTTTGTCTCCATCATGGAAATGGTCCTGCGTTTATATGTACCCCGCCATTAACTTTTTTACTACACTTAATTTTAACAACCTAAATTTTAAGCTCACCTACCAGTACGATTACAATGAAATAAACTTTTTAGATCTCACGCTTTTTAATCAGGGCACTGGGATTTTAACTAAAACTTTTTTAAAGCTACAGATAAGAACAGTTACATACCCATGGATAGCTGCCATCATCCTAGCTGGTTAAACAACATGCAAGATGCAACTCACAAGATGCATGGGGGTAAGAGCGTGTAATCCACCCAGTGCGTTTGGCTGTTAGCGTTACTAAACCTGCATCTCCTAGATTGTAAGCTCGAAAGAGCAGGGCCCTCAAACCCCTCGTGTATTGTTTTGTTATTGTATTGTCTCATGTTCTGTCCCCCACTATAATGTACAGCGCTGAGCAAATCTTTTGGCGCTATATAAATACTGTATAATAATAATTTACTACATCTGGTCTCCCACAGTACACAGGACATGGAAATGCAATTATTTTATTAAATATAAACTGCTAAATACCTTTTCTCATCAGCAGTTAGAGCAGTCTTTTGACTTCTATCAATGTCCAGCAGATCACTGGTTACAGCTTGCAGGAAGAGTTTTAATTTTCCCCTCATTGCCCTATAAGGCTGCAGAACCCCTGACCCTTTGTCTGGACAGTGCTAATTGGCCATGTGCTGATCTCATGCACTCTCCCAAGAAAAAAAAACAAAAAAAACTCTCTTTAGCGATATACACCAAACTGAGCATGTGCAGCTTGCCCCCAAGGCTCTGTTCTATCAGGAGATGGATTGGGGAGTATGGAAGAATGGGAGGATCAGAGAAGACAGGATCAAACATCCTTTTTACACAATGCGGAGGATTAATCCCTTAGGTTTCACAGTGAGTATAACAAGCATGCTTTACTGCATATACAGATTGATTTTACTTGTGTGGGTTTAGTAACATTTTAACTGATCTCCCTGCTTCTGATCATGCTGTTTCAGAACATACTTTGAAGCAAATGTAATCATCTCTGAAGAGAACAGCAAAGGGACACTTACAAGTCCATTACTCACAAAGAAGCTCAAGCTGATAATCTGGGGAAATGACAGTTGGAACGTCAACGTACCTACTTTACTAACACCTACAACAAGCTGGTAGATGCCCATCAGGATCATGCAAATGAATTACAGTTTACTCATGTCAAACTCACAGATCTTAAAGATCATTCTTGCTGGAACAATCTTAAAAGCAGGGGCATCCCCAAGTCAGTGGCACCTCAAGATTTGATACCATACCTGCAGCAAATTTTTAAAGTATTGATTCCATCTCTGTCTGCACATGACCGTACTACTGATAGTAGTAGTAGATCTTTAATGCGTGATTTTATTGCGCATCTGGTGAGTGTGCAATTCTTCTATTTACCCGGCACATCACAATATTATTGGATATAGAGTCAATCACTATACTCTGAGATCATATTACTGGATCTTCAATTGCATAACTTTCCTATTTGGACATTGATTCATCATTATTGTCACTTTACTTAGCACCATTAGTCACCTTGAGTGACAGTATATAAAGGTATCACTTTGTCACTTTATGGACTCATTTATGTCATGATTTATGGTTACTTTACATGCACTTATACCACTTCACATATTATTTGATACAGTGATATGTTTATTTTTTGCTGGTTTATATTTATTTTAATTTTGCCTTTGCCCTTTTTGACTTATTGCACTTTATTTGATATTTGACATTCTTATCTCAGCGCTGCACCTGCTTTTTAAATTACTGGTTGGAAGGTTTTTTGGTACCTTTTTGGTGTCACAACAGCTAACCTACAGCACTCCCTTTCCCATTCTGTGTTCTTTGCGGATATATTGGCTGCTCCCATTAATAAAATTCTGCATGAACATATTTCATATAGATGGGGCTTCCCCACAAAACTCACGTTGACCCTCCAGGGCAAGAATACAACCATTCTTCATTTGAAACAAGGGCTGAAACAGCTGCATAACTGGGGTCTATCTCCTTCTCTGGATGAAGTTACTAGTCAATAGTGTGCAGCTGAAAATCCAACCCCCCCCCCCCCCCCCCCCATAAAAGTCTTGTATACACACAGCGCACAACTATCCTTCACAGATCTTCATATATTCTTACCAGAATCTTCCCAATAATGAATGCGTTGTATATCATATAATCTTCTCTATCTTTTTCTTCTTGATCATATACTTGACTGCTCCCAAAGCAAAAAAAAAAAATAGTGTATATAATTCCACACATCAACATAATTGCGATACTCTGAACTACATGATACTACTACTGTGCATATATACAGAACACTTTGTGAATCATATCCACCTCTATCAACACTAGTTACTCTTACCCCTCACAGGGTGAAAATTGCTGGTTTATAAATTTTGCTCTCCATTTTTGACTTATTGCACTTATGATATTTGACATTCTTATCCTCAGCGCTGCACCTAAACACTGGTTGGAAGGTTTTTTGGTACTTTTTGGTGTCACAACAGCTAACCTACCCCTTTCCCATTCTGTGTTCTAAACTTGCATATATTGGCTGCTCCCATTAATAAAATTCTGCATTGACATATTTCATATAGATGGGGCTTCCCCACAAAACTCACGTTGACCCTCCAGGGCAAGAATACAACCATTCTTCATTTGAAACAAGGGCTGAAACAGCTGCATAACTGGGGTCTATCTCCTTCTCTGGATGAAGTTACTAGTCAATAGTGTGCAGCTGAAAATCCACCCCCCCCCCCCGCCCCCCCCGGCATAAAAGTCTTATACACAAAACAGCGCACACACTATCCTTCACAGATCTTCATATATTCTTACCAGAATCTTCCCAATAAGAATGCGTTGTATATCATATAATCTTCTCTATCTTTTCTTCTTGATCATATACTTGACTGCTCCCAAAGCAAAAAAAAAATAGTGTAGTAATTCATGACACATGATACTACTGTGCATATATACAGAACACTTTGTGAATCATATCCACCTCTATCAACACTAGTTACTCTTACCCTCACAGGGTGAAAATGTGCATAAAACTCTCCATCAATATGATTTATCCTCTTAAACACTTGCCTACTGGGCACTTATACCCCCTTTGTGCATGCCATTTTCAGCTTTCAGCACTGTCACACTTTGAATGACAATTGCGCGGTCATGCAACACTGTGCCCATATGCAATTTTTATCATTTATCTTCACACAAATAGAGCTTTCTTTTGGAGGAATTTAATCACCACTGGGTGTTTTTGTTTATTTTTTGCACAATAAACAAAAAAAGAGCAAACAATTTGAAAAAAAGAAGGTTTTCTTTGTTTCTATTATAAAATTTTGCAAACAGGTAATTTGTCTCCTTCACTGATGTGCATTGATGAGGCTGCACTGATGAGGTGGCACTGATAGGTAGCGCTGATGAGGTGGCACTGGTGGGCATTGATGAGGAGGCATTGATAGGTAGCACTGATGAGGCGGCACTGGTGGGCATTGATGATGCACTGACATTTGGCACTGGTGGGCACTGATAGGTGGCACTGATGAGTGGCACTGCTGGGTATCACTGCTGGGCACTGGGTGGCACTTCTGGGCACTGATAGGTGGCCGCATTGCTGGGCACTGCTGGTTGGCACTGATAATCAGGGCACTAATACCAGTGCAGATCACCCCTGTCAGATTTGTCGGTTATTGGCAGTACTTTCCTCACGCTGTGACAGCATGAGGAAAGTGCTGACGATAACCAGCAACTGTATTTACATTGTGATCTGCTGTGTCCATGTTGCGTGCTGCTGGGGGCACGTTCTTGGAGTACGTCAATGGACGCCCTCCCAGAACTGGACAACTGGGCTGAAGCCATCTTTTGGCTGTAGCGTGGTTGGGAAGTGGTTAAAACTGGTAAATACTGTACATATTCTCCAAGGGTATGCAAACATTTGAGCACAACTGTAACTCCCAAACAGCTTTAGGACATTTACTCCCCTTTCTCTAAAGACATCAATTCCATTCCCTTACACAAATCCCCAGGCCCAGAAGGCTTTATGAATGACTATTAAAAAACATTTACAACACATTTAGCTCACCACATTATTAACTCTCTTAATAATATTGCAGATCTGCATCTCTGGAATCGATAATACTTATTATTCCTAAACCGAGCAAATCTACAGACACTCCTAACTTCCGTCCCATCTCCCGTTTGAATACAGACACAATTATAAGCCAAACCTATAGCTGTCTTGCTAAACTAACCCCCACGCTAGTTCACCAAACCAGGTTGGCTTCGTTTAAGGTTTCCAGACCTCTGCTGGCACCAGATGTTTTATCAATTTGATACAGTAGGCGGAACATTACCAAATGCCTACTTTGCTGATCTCACTTGATCCAGCTGAGATGACATTCGATAGGGTTCGTTACATGAATGCCGTTCTTTCAAAATTTAAATTTTCTGTCCAGATGCTCTTGACCATATGTACTCTCTACACTCATTCTAGCATCTGGACCTTGAGGTTTCTCTCATCCTCCTTCCCTATTGCTAATGTTATTAGGCATGGCTGCCCTCTCTCCCGGTTTATCTTTTCTTTAATTATGGAACCCCTCGTGGAACACATCTGTTCTCAACGTCTGATTTCAAGACTTTCTGTAAGATCTGTCCAACAAAAAATTGGCTTATATGTGGATGATGTCCTCTACCTAACCAAGCCAGTACAGTCTTTAGCACCCTTGTGTAATTTACTGGATCATTTTGGATTGATCTTTCTAAACAAAGTCAACCACTCTAAAACCCAAATGTTGTCAATTGGTTTCATGTCTCTACTAAACATCAGGTCTCCTGTGTCATGCCTTTCTCATGGGCTCCTTGCTCATCCTTACAATATTTAGGTGTTCAGCTTACCTCTCCTAGCTCTAGACTTAACTACTCAGAACTTACAACAAAATTGACTAATATCTGTTTGAATCTTAGTTCTGTGTTCACTTCGTGAGCATTTTATATTACACACAGTAATACAACAATACAATACAGCAATACAACTTCCCTGGACTAAGATTGAAACTATTGCTTTAACGTTTAATCCCAAGCTAGTTCTGGGAGCCATGTGGATGCAGCAATTTCCAATAAGACATTTCTTGGATACCATTACAGCTGCTTGTTAAGTTTGGAACTCTATTGTGGACTTATCTCATGGTCTCTCTCAAGCAACATTATACCATCTCTCTGTACGCTCTTTGGAACGGTTTATACAGGATATCTCTCTGCATGACTGGGAGACAGCTGGCATCCACACTGGCACATTTTTATTATCAATCCAATTTGGATTCTTTGCAAGACTTATGTGCTATTTACGTAATAAAACTTTCCTCATTTTACATGTACTTTAAGATACATCATGCCCTGCACTGATTATTATTATTCCACGGCTCTGAAAGAACATCTTGGACACTCCTTTTGCCTTTATGTTTAGGTGTCTCACCTATTTACCGCCTTCTTTCCAACCTTTCTCCACAAAACTGCATCAATAGTCTTTTGGGAACTTGCCTTTCAGTTTTCAGCTACCTCAACTCAAAGGTGCTTTGCTACTAGGCTGCCTCTTAAACATTCTCTCTCATTGGGAATCCTAACAGAAACTGAAAGGATTAATGAAATATAACTGAATCCATTTTGTATGCACTAATACAAGATGCTTGTTTAACCATTTAACCCTATGGCCGAATGGCGGGCGGCAAATGTGTTCAGCGTTCCGGGTGGACTCCATATGGCGTCTTCCCGCACATGCGCAGATTGCGCTCCTGCAGAGCGGCGCAGCGGCGCGATCTGTCACCGGCCGTGTACCTCGGACACGGCCGATGACAGATCTGAGTATCGGCCCCGTTGCTGGTACCATGTGACCTGATGTGACCAATCACAGCAGGTCACATGATAGTTGTATACAATGGATGGCTTCATTCATGCCATCCATTGTATACTACTGCCTAGCTGTGAATGGTAACAGCTAATCACATGCACATGTCATGTGATTAGCTGTGGCCAAATCACAACTAAGCACAAAAAAAAACCCCCCAAAAAAAAAAACCCTGAATGAATCGATGTCATTCAGGTAAATGCTTGCTTATAGCAAAGTAATTCTTTGCTATAAGCAAATTGTGTAAAAAAAAAAAAAAAATACTGATCACTTCCCCAAAGTAGTACAATGTTACTATGGTAACATTGTACTACTTTGGTCATAGTGAAATATGAAAAAAAAATCTTAAAAAAAAAAATTTTTTTTTATAAAAAGTAAAAAATAAAAAAAAAAAAAAAAAAAATATATAATTTTTTTTCATACTGTCACCAGTCAGTGTCCTGATCACCGCCATGCCAGTTATATGATGATGCTGTATATGTATATATGTACAATATGTAAAAAAAAAATAGTGAAACTAATTTTTTAAATTTTTTAATTTTCCGAAAAATTATGACAAAAAAAATACAACTTCAAAAAACTCGCCATGTCTCTTATGAAGTACGTCGGACTGTCTACTTTGCAAAAAGGGGTCATTTGGGGGATATCTGTACTGTTCTGACATTCTTGGACCTCAAGAAATTAGATTGGCCATCAGTACTTCAGGATTGATCAATATTCAGATATATACCATAGTTTGTGAACTCTATAACTTTCCTACAAACTAAAATATACATCCTAATTTGGGTTATTTTCACCAAAGACATGTAGCAGAATACATCTCGGCCTAAATTTATGAAGAACAATTATTTATTTGCAAACTTTTATAACAGAACAATGTTGTATGACCGTGCAATTGTCATTCAAAAAGTGAGAGCGCTGAAACCTGAAAACTGGCCTGGGCAGGAAGGTGTAAAATTGCCCGGTATTGAATTGGTTAACATACACAGATTGTAAGCTCGAAAGAGCAGGGCCCTCGATCCCCTCATGTTTTGCATTGTATTGTTGTTGTTCTGTCACATGTTCTGTCCCCCTTTGTAATTTACAGCGCTGAGCGAACTATTGGCGCTTTATAAATACTGTATAATAATAATAATAATATATGAACTTTGTACACACTAACAAATCTGTCTATGCCATCTTTATGTAGAAATAAGTGTTTCTGCAAACTTTACAAAAAAGGAGATAACCTTTACTTTCATTTCTGAAGAGTTGTAACCACAGCTTGGGCGTTGGGCAAGATTATAGCCATGGTCTGGGCATTAGACCAGATATGGTGTGAAAGATAAAGCAGAAAAGTGTAAATTCAGACCTCATACAAATAACTGTTGAGTTAAGGTAAAAATAATGTACATGTATTTGATTGGATGGTCTGAAGGTGTGTCTGCCCAAAGGCTACAGTACAAAAATCCTGATGTTATGCCAATAAAGCTGAAGTTTTTGCAATCGCAACTGAGGTGACTTGAGTGCATTCACTTTCCGAGTTCTCGTAGCTGTGTCCAGGTGTGACCATTGGTATCTTGAGGGGGCCCCAAAAGAACAGGAAAAAGACCACCTACCTACCTGCAGTGGTGTCAGAAGTGGGATAATTACCAAGGTAAGTGAGAGTTTTATTTTTTAATGCTTTCTTCACCGAGGTAATTATTCTGAACTTAAGGGAAATTTGGTGGGTGGAGTTTTAGGAGCGAAACTAAGGGATTCTTAGCTCTGGGAATAATACCAGGGCACACCTCGCACAGCACTTTGTATAATTTGTAGAAAGTTTGTTATTGTTGTTTTTTGTTTTGGTTGTTGGTTTACTAATTTACTGCTATGGGTAATTCCTCAGGTAAGGAGGAAGGACCCGTCATGTGCCGCCACAAAAGTTCATTAAGCTATTAAGAAAAACTAGAAAGCTGAGGGGAAAGAACACATCTACCTCAAATGAAACTTGTAAAGAATATGTATCAAGGGTATCCCCTTATGATATTTATTATTTTAATCCCTGGCTGGATAATTTAGTGGGATGGTCAGAAAGACTGGGTGGAGCTAGTGACGGGGGAAATGACACTATGTGTATGGATATGATTAGAGGAATGTGTTTGCATGAACAGCCTCAGGTAGGTAACTGGGGGACTGGAAATCCAGATTGGGATAAGAATTATATGTATGAAGGGGGTAAGAATTGGTTGAAGTATGCACCAGGCTATAAGACTCTAATTGTAGCAAATGATTTCGCACCACCCCCGCCATACAAACACAGCGAGGCACGTCCTGCCCCTATAGCTCCACATGCAGCACCATTATACCCAGCACTCCCACAGGTAAAACAAGTAGATGAAGAGGTTCTTATTGCTGCTTCCCAGATAAATACAGGGGAGTCAGAAGAATCTGGCTCAGATGGGGAAACTGGGAGTGTTAGTCAAAGAGATACTGAGAGGGGTAAAAGGAAAGTAAAGAGGAAGAGAAAGAAGGTAGAAAAGAGTGATAGAATTCTTAGGTCAGCAGAAAGTAACAAGGAGGAAGTTAAAGATGAGACAGCTGAGCTAGATATGATGAATTCAGCCTTTCCATTCATGATGATTGGGGAGCAACTGATTTTAAAGGCAATAGATCCCAAGGAGCTGGATGCTATAGTACAGGGATGCCCTAATCTGAGGAAATCTTCGAGTGGGGCGGTATCCTGGCTAAAGAGGACATACTACAGTATACGATGGAAGATTGCAGGTTGATAATTGGGAAAGTATTGGGAGATATTACAGGAGAGTTTGAATGGGAAAATTGTAAGATTTTTAATAATGAAGATGCTGTTGGTTACAAAAAGTGGGACCCATCAC